AGCGGGGCTGGGCGGGGCTCGGGGATCCCTGGCACCTCGCGGATGGCTGCGCGGCGGGAGGGAAGGAAGTAGCCGTCCGTCCGCGCCTTTGTCCCACGGGCCCTGGTGGCTTCCTGACCCTCTTGGGGCACAGAGCCCACTGGAAATCCTGTCTCTTCTGCCTGAGCGCAGCGGCCGCTTCCCCTCTCTTGATCTTGGCAGTACCTGGTTAGGAGGCCTGAGACGCTTTGCCAGACTTGGGGCTGGGCTGAGCGTTTAAACCAAGTCGGGGCTCTGGGGACTGATCTGAGGGGCACAGCCCCGCCCACGTGCCTGTCAGGCCACCGGGGGACGGGGGCAGGCGCTCCGTGCCACCAGTGTCCAAGTGCAGCTACCAGGTAGAGACGAGTGCCTGTCTTGACCTCGTCGTGACCTGCGGCTGTGTCACCCTGGGGGGGTCCCAGCCCCCTGAGCGTCCCGTGGGGAGCCAGGATTGGCCTCAGACCGGCCTGGCCCTGACTGGCCAACGAACTGTCCTGCAGGCCAGCGGAGCCTGCACCACCGCGGAGATGCCCTGGAGACGCTGGTCCTCCTGAACCCGTCAGACAAGTCCCTGTGTGATGAGGTAGGGGTGGGCTGCGGGGCTGTGCCGTCCCGTCTGTCCTCTGTGGTCAGGGACCCTCTCCAGACGCCCGGCCCAGCGCCCTGTCCCTGTGGTTCCACCCCAGCTTCGTCCCTCCCCTCGGGACGGGTTCAGCACCCCCAGCCCAGGGCCCTGAAGGTCTGGAGGGGCGGAAAGGACCCCAGTGACGCTGTGTCCTGTGATTTCCCAGCGGTGGGGCCGGGCTGTAGCTCCCGGCTGTGGCTCCTGGCTCTTCTGGCAGCTTCTCCTTGGGAGGAGGAAGAGGAGGTGCCCTGGGAACCCCTTTAGACGCTGAGCTCTTTTACTCCCTTGAGGGGCTCTCCGGCCAGAGGAGGAGCACAGCCAGCCCCAGATGGCAGGCGACAGGTCAGGACTGGGCCGGGCAGGGGCGCAGTGCCCCTTCTCCCCCCGGCCTGGCCTCCGCTGTGGCTCAGGCTTGTGTCCCAGGCGGTGCTGGCCACACTGCATGGACCTCTGACGCTGCCCCACAGCTCCGGAACCTTCTGCTGGTCCCTGCCCCTCATAAGCTGCTGGTGCTGGCCGGGCCCTGCCTGGAGGAGACCGGGGAGCTGCTGCTGCAGACGGGTGGCTTCTCGTTCCACCACTTTCTGCAGGTCCTGGACGAGAGGGAGGTGAGCTGCCCACCCCCAGCGCAGTGCTGCCGCCCTCCGTGGCCCGGGTCAGGGACCAGTGCCACTTTCCAGGGAGGGGCGTGTACGGCAGGTTTGGTGGCTGCACTGTCACCCCAGCAGTCTGGGAGAAGGGGCAGGAGCCCTGCCCGGGCAAACGAGCAGAGTAGTGAGCAGAGAGCCTGGCTCATAGTAACAAAAAAGGCAGAGGATGTGGCTCCTAGGGTAGGCTGGGTTCAGTCCTCAAACAAACAGCTGCAGATAAATAAACGGCTTCCACAGTGGGAGGCTGGTGGTGCGGCCACCACCCTGCGCCTCAGCAGGCGTCTCTGAGGCCAGAAGGGGGGCCCAGGTTCCAGCTCCCAGATGAGATGGAGCCGCGTGGCGTGGGGCACATGGATGAAGAAAGCAGGACTGGGTCAGGGTCCTGGAGGGTGTGGTCAGACAGAAGAGCAAGCTCAAAGGCCCTGGGGCCAGGAGAGGATGCCAGGGCCCAAGGGTGGTCCCGGGCAGGCCTGGGCTGTGCCCAGAGAGGAGCAGGAAGGGGTGTTCTGGCTGGGCTTTCCGGCTCCAGAAGCCCTTTCCTGCTCCGCGCCGCAGATCCAGGACCTGTTGGGCCACACC